CTGGTGCACTAAATGCAAAGTCCAGGCGAACAAAAAATTCAAGGAGCACGGAAAATACATACCGCGGAAAAGAAAGACCTGCAACAAGTAGAAGGTAGAGCAATTTCTGCTAGCTCTCGTTGTACAGGCTAAAACATAAACAAATATATAAATAACGAGGAAAATGTCATTTATAGGATGCCGATGATCCACGAAAACAACAATGTCATGAAAAAATTTTAACCGCCTTTAAGTTGCTCGATTGCCCGCACATGCGCAGACGTTTGACCGCTGTGTTGGTGCGTGGCTAGCTCGGAGAAGCCAAATTCGATAAAGTCTTCCGTGATCTTCTAGAGATCTTCTAGATTTAGCAGACGTTTCCTTTCCATTTTCCAGTCGGGAAGATCGAGGAAGCGAACGAACAAACGGGGTGAAGGGATGAGGGGGTGAGCAAAAAATGTAGAAGAAGGGGGAGGGGTGAGGAGGAAAGGAATCATGTTTTGCCCCACCCCCTCCCTCTGCTCCTTATTGTTTCGCACTCGTTCGCAGTTTTTAAATTCATTCCCTTCAAGTGCTTGGAAATGAACGCCTGTCGCGCAGGCTAAAAAACGGGGAAGGGGTAGGGAGGCAAAAATTAAAACGCGTTTTGCCTTCCCCTCCCCCGTTTAACGCCTGCCACGCAGGCAAGCTAGAAAAGATTTTCTTTACGCACTTACAATTCGCCCATTGTTTTAACAGTCAGATTGGAGACCAACTGCTATACCAGTACCTTATGTTTTGTTGTACAGTACAAAAACCGATCTAGTGAGACAAAGAGAAAAAAAATTATATTAAATGCCTCATGCATGATGAAGTCAAGCGATCATAAGGGACCTAAGAGGAAGGTGATGTCATGTTTCTTCCACACCTAGTCACCCCTCAGGACCTACTTTGATGGCCGTTAACCTAAGCTTGGAAACTTCAGGAACTCTCACAATTGAGGGTCCAAGAAAGGGGCAATAGGCAGGGTCCACTCAAGGTTACCGGCTTCTGGTCTGCTGAAGAAAACCTGTGGAGCATCCACCTGCATAAAGTAGCAATACTCTTCTCGACTACGAGTCTAACACGATGATATGCGATCGAAAAACAGAAAGAAAAAAAAAACAAGCTTTCTTAGTGACAAAAGTCGTTCAAGTTCGCCCGTCCTGCAGGAATGAAATTGCAAGAGCGAAGGAAATGATTCTTTTCTTTTAATTTCCCTCTTTTCTGTATTTACTCACTAATATTATCATATGGATAGTTCCGTTGGTATAAGAGAGCCCTTTATAGCAAAACTATATGATTCCCGAAATAAACCTTCAAAGAATGATCTTCGGATTTAACAATTGTCTTAAGACGACTGTTTCTCTAGCCATTAAATGGAATGTTGAATTTTTTAGCGAGTCTTCTCATACGGGAGTACATCATGTCCCAGTCCATGTAGATTCCACTGAGAAAGCGACTTCCTTGCCCAGTTACTGTAAACGCTGATCTTCCATGCAGCACACGGCTGTTGTTAAAAGAGATCATATCACCAGGCACCATTTTGTGCTCGATTTGATTGGCTGGGTCTCTTAACATTTTGCCGAGCGTGAGATAAGCTTCGTAAAGTCGAACAGTTTCCTCTGGGGAGGCAGTAAGCATTACGGAGTCACGCACATGATTGTTAAAAGCAAACCGTGCGATTTGGTTGTTTTCGTCCAACCTGTCATGACAGGCAAAAGAAAACTATTAGTCCTTCAAACCCCTCCTATAATACTGCCTGGCCATTAAAACGTAACAGCTTGGATGTTATTTGTCCTCGTTAAGGCTCGAAAGTAGATTTATAAACCTAATCCTTTCATGTAAGGGGGTCTATTTCCTGGTTCCGTATAGAGAATAAAGACCAACTTTTTGTCGTCGGTCCATTTTGTCGATTCACCTTGATTACAGTTCAAGTTAATTTACTTTCCTTAGCAGCTGTTGTTTGTGTCGTCAAGCACGATGCATCAAAAGAATGGAAAAGGCGTCGAACGAAGGGTGAAGACCCAAACAATAGTCTACTCCAAGGTTATAATAAACTTACTGTTTTCAGTCACATTAACCCTCTGACGCAACTCAACAAAGTTTTCCACCCAATAATGGAAGAATGCCATGTAAGGCATGTATTGTTATTCTGGCAACTTACTCGATTGTGTTGCGTGCAAATTGATAGTCAAATTCTCCAAACATGTCTTTTCCAACATCGACAAACTGGAATCGTGCCTTTGTCAGGAGATCAAACTTTTCCGGGTGTTTATGTTGTAGTTCCAGTGAAACATGGAATCCATCTACGAACTGGTTCGCGCCTCCATTCCCAGGGGCTTGTTCAATGCAGTGCAACAACTGAACCTAAAACAGATCAGGTTGAAAGAATATTTTAACTATTTCAATTCCTCTCAGCCCTTTGTCGGAATCACAACCAATTAGCCTTAAAGGACCTTAAATTGGTACCACCCTCCCGCCAAACCTTCCAAAGGTCGCGCCCCAGGCTATCAAACAGTTCTAATTGCTCATGTCATTCAATCTAAAATGTCAACGTTTCCCATTTCCTGTGAACGATTTAGAGAGAGATAGTGAAGAGAGAAACTCAAGTTAGGTTATCACCTAGTGACCCACAACCAACGGGACTTAAGCTGGTTTCCCTTACATGAAGCGACATGGATAACGTGACGACTGCGTCAGCATGAACCTGTTCGAAGAGACAAACTTTTTCAGCGCGAACATTCTCGCATTGACCGCAGACATCTCTCACTGTGAGATTAGGGGCGTTATCCGGGCGTTTCGAGTCTCGTTGGCGTTGCGTTAGCCTTAATTCGTTTTACCATTCAGTTCCCTGTTTTGATGTAAAAGAATGACTGCCGTAAATTATCAACCAATAAACTGCCCCTTACTCCTGGTATGTAATCGTAATAAGGCAAGTCAATGTGTAACGGCAGGAAATTAGAAGTGTATGCCAAGTTGTTAGCATCGTACTTCGCCTTTACTTCAAAGTGATGGCTGAAAGGCAAACAAGAAAGAACCGTTTTTAGTTTTCTATCTTTCACATGGCACAAAGTTGAAGAGAAGAGCATTCCACGGAGCTACAGAGCTATTATGAAAAAGCTTGAAAAATCACAGGACGTGTTATGAAGGTCGGCCGCCGGCACATCTTCGAAAAACAACTAAAACCCACTTTCAGCTGGGGTTTGCAGAGTCCCAAAATATTTCGGTCAGCATAAAACGCACACCGCGGGCTGCAGACTGCAGACTGCGCACAGGGGATAAAATGAAGACTGACTAGTGTTACCGGCCATTTCCAACACTGACAGCTAACCGGAGCGTTATTCAGGCTGACCACAGTTATATTCAGGCTAACCGGAGTGCAAACACACTCCCATTACCCTGAATAGCCCCGTTTCTTTACGGCTAGCGCCTTGCACTCGATAATAAATAGCACGATTCATTAAAACTGGATCATTGGATAATGCAATTCAAGAGTTTTCATTGGCTTAGCTATCATGGTGTATCAGCAATTATAATCCATCAAATATTTTCGTGCGCGTGCGGTTGGTCTAAACGTGTCACGTGACTGCATATGCCCTAGCTAAAACTGGGGAATATCACTCGGAATATCCGAGTGATATTCCCCAATTTTCAAGACTGCGCAGGTTGCGAAAAATATTTGAAGTATAATCATGAACACGATATCCTCCATTTGACGCGAAAATATGCTTGGATATTTGCACTTGGACATTATCTGTTCCTCAAAGCTCACAGTTTTCAGAACAGATAATATCCGCGTATCCTAGCATATTTTCTTGCGAAATGGAGGTTATTGTTTATTTATATCATGCTCTACAAATTTTGGGGGCGTTTTTTTATTTTTATTTCTTATTTTTTTTAGTTTTCTATATTTTGGGGGCGTTCGTGGAATAACTGTTAAATATACTCGAACGTCTGCAGTCTACAGTCTGCATTTACCCTCGGTCTGCATTTTACCGCCGGTCTGCTCTCGAACCTCAGGCTCACCTAACTGCGTTCCAATTCAATAGCTTTTAATATACCAAGCACTAAACTTTGACATAAATTGTCGTTCACTCTCTCTAGAAGTTTTAGACTACGAGTAGTCCCTCTCTCGCTTGTAGTCCGTCGTGCGTGACGTGAAAGAAAACCACGAGAAAAAAATAATGGCCGCGCGAACTCCTGCGCGCGAGAAGCACGCGAAATTAGGATTTCACGCGGCTTTTTTTGTTTATTTAATCGCTTGAAGGACTAAGCGAAAGAGAGACTACTCGTGGTCTACTAAATGTTACATTCTGACTTGACATTTTCGTTTCATTTCTTTTTATGCCTATAGGAAAAATAATTTATAACTACGTAACTGACTAAAAAGCGACAAAATTCGAACGTATCGAAAGTGTCGCAGGGTTAGAAACTCACCGGTACCCATTTACCCCGACGGAGGCACTAATCTACACCGCTTTATCCGGAGTCAAGTGACGACTACGTCGCGAGAGTGTGGCACGCGAGATCGTGTCACAAAATCTCCGGTACAGTCCAAATTTTATTCAATCACAAAGCGCGTCTCTCCCTTCCCCGGAAGTCACTTCCTTCCCCCCACCCCCCACCTCCCGCTTGTGCGGTAAAATAAAAATGAAGTGTGTTCAAATCGTTAATAAAGAATAATCCCGCGTTAAATCTAACCATTAATAGCACAACACTGCCTATTTTTCTCACTGTTTTTTATTTCTCCGTGACATTTACATAAAGATATTTTTCGTCCCTTCAGTTTCCAATTGATAATAATAAGAATAGTGATTAATTGGGTTAAGTTGACAGAGTTACCGAAAGCACGACCTCATATAACCTTACAGGTTACGAAACAAATTTTACTGACAATCAAATTAATAACCTTCACTTACCCATAATGAGTAGTCTTAAAATGTCCAACTCTGTCGGACAATTTCTCTACTTGTCCAATCTGCTGAGGAGTATTTGTGACGAGTGCAATACCTACACCATGCAAAGACTTGAGCCACTCGAACAGGGCCCGGTCATCCTCCATAATCTCGTGAAAATCGCTCTTCGGAATCTTGCCTTGTAGCTTTTCAGCATTCCAGAACTCCACCCCGTCTCTGTTCAGAGTAGATCTTTTACTGTTCGATCCTTTCCGTTCGCTCAATCGTCGCGAGTGGAGCCACTCAGACTCAAAGGTACTGATGTGTCCGTCGGGCCATGTAATGATGATCCGACCCCCATCGGGCGCAGCTTCGTATTTTTCCGGCAGAATGTTCAGATCTAACTTGCCTACAGTGTCAAAAGAACGCTGTAAAGAGGACTCGTGAAAGCACTCGGGACATCGGCAGATATCGCGAAGATAAGCAAACGGGTAACGATTCACTGAGTTATTACTCCATGTCACGTGCAGCATTCCATGTTCGCTTTTGTTTTCGAGTTTTTGGACCAGAGGCTTGGAGGTCGGAGCAGCTGAGGTCACCCCTACTACGTGCGAATTCTGGCTTAACAATCGAGCACGGTTGATGAATTGGGTCCTGCAAAGTTGCCTCACACGAGACAACATGATTATTTCAACCACTATGGTGCAATAGATGCCTTAGCTCACGCGAGAGAACATGATTATTCGAAACTGTTTGTGTGACGCAGCGTGACGGCTCAGTCTTCACCCAAGATTCTTTGCGAACTTTAAGGTGGGAAAAAAACACAGCATTTTTCAAAGTTTTTTCGTGCCTAAGATTTGATTCCAAACCACGATAGAGTGTACATTTTAAGAAAGCCTAAAGACCAAAGATTACGAAAAAAAAATTTTTGTACCCTAGAACTGACACCGGCTGATTAAATCTGCCACCTGCAGCATGCAGGGGAACTTTGAGGAAAGATAACTCCTACAAGGACTGATCAAAAGGAATAATTTTTACATTTTTTAAAAGAAGACAAATAGCTTGCTGTATTAAGCATAGAGATTTTTGAAAAGTTAAAAACACATGAAATGGTGACCAGTTAAATCTGATACAGAAAATCTAGCCTACGTTTCAATGCATTACTTTTACAAAATGCACTGGATGGAAAAGTTCTCCGCTTAAAACACAAAACTTCCTCAGAACAACAAATCCTGAAATTTTCAGCTCAATAGGACATATCCTTCTCAAAATATCTTTTGTCAAAGGCAAAAATAACTCGATTTGAGAAAATAAAACTTCAACACCTCAAGATTTAAATTCCGGTTAAAACAAAACTTCGATTTTTTTTACAGAATTTTCGGTTAAGTCCCGCCTTATTGTTATCTGGTTATACGTAGCGCTAGGGCGCAAATTTACTTTTGGTAACTCAGGGGAGGGCGCTAATCGATCCTTAATGGAGAAAGGCGTTAATTAGGGCCGAGCCATGAGACACTTCTAACTGAAGAACTGTAACAATAGAGGCTCTGATAGTCATAATGTTAAGCTGTCAAGAGCTCTTGGTCAATGTTGAATATTTTCGCCTACAACTGTATTGGAAAAAGGCGCTTTTTAAGAAAATTACAGTATGTCTTACATCGCAGACCAGATGAAGACTAGCGTACCGAGGAACCAAGAGACTATGGCCCCTTGGAGGAACTTAAAGCGAAAAAAAACGAAAATGCGAAGAGAAACTCGAAGGTTTGGATACGGACTTAAGTTTAGAATAGGAAGACAATGTCATGGTAAAAGGGAAGGCAAAAAACAACTCAAATTTATTACACTTCTCCGTTGTAAAGATTCTCGATACGGTCGACAGAATTTGACTTCCGAGGTTGTTGACCAGAGGCGAATATTCCTTACAAAGCCAGACCTTTGTTTTAAAACATATGATTGACAAGTAAGGCTGTCGACATGTAAATTTCCCATGTGACAGCTGTTGAAAGTTTTTGTTTTATGTGGTTCTTTTGCATCTGTTACCGGTGTGAAAACAGTATTTCACTTCACAGCCGCTGTTTTGGTCTTCTGCAAATCACTGTGTCGTTTTAGATTTTAGGGTTTCTCTCTAATTAACGCCCTGGTGAACGCTATTATCTAAAGGACCCCAAAGTATAAAGCTAAATCCATATAGATCCTCCTAAGATCAGCTGAAGTCGCGGTTTCACTTATTCATATATAAAGGAGAAGCGTTTGACTGACATAAAATGGTGAGTACGAAATTCAAACTTCGCTATGTGTTTCAATATAAACCAAGGTTTCGGACTTCATTATACGCATGCATATAATAATACGACGTTTGTGTCTATTATTTTTGCTATAGAACAGGGACTCAACGGGTCAGTCAACCGAAATATCATTATTTTCATATTAAAATAACCTTCGTAAAATTCACTTATCATACTAAACATTCAATTTCTTACGTTTCCTTTACGCTAGTAACCGTGTTGTTTCTTGGACAGTATATTCTTTTTATTAACTATGTTTTAGAAACCATTATTTTAGCAATTTAATCGCAGATGCACTTGCGATGCAAGCGATCTTGACTGAAAAGTCTACTTTGATTTCATGCAAAGAATAATTGGCAATTCATTAATTTCTCCCTGCAATACTAACACATAAATCTCCTCGTGTTTCACACAGCCAGGAAAGCGGGCCGCATGAAACCCGCTGCTCCCACAAGCACAAACAGAAAGGTTACGAAAATATGAAAATCGTCAGCTGGTCCGGTGCTGCCTGATGTACCTTCGCGTTTTGAGTTCGTGTAAACTAAGGCGTATTTTAGCCTGTTACAGCCACCCTCCCCGATAGGAAAAAATCGAAAAACCATCACTTCAGGGAGGGCGGCTGTAACAAAGGCTAACATATTTTGAACTTTCTGAAAGGGTTATGGTAACGAGAAAACCCGAAATTAATAGTTGCAACAACTTGACGGAAGAAAGGAAGATAAATAGCGGTGGCCGCTAAATTTGTCGGCCTCTTATCCGTTGTCATAGAGACAATGCAGTTCACTTTCTCATGCTCGTAACCAGCAAAAGTATTTAACGAAACCCTAAAAGTAAAGTTTACTTCATCCAAGAGGGGAAATAGGTTTAGAAGTAAGCTGAAGCGACTTGGTTATTGTTACTTCCCAAAAATGAGCTGCAAGTCCATCGCATGTCACTTCCCAGCCTTGCCTCAGGCTGCCCCTCCTACAACCTGAGGCACTGTTTGAGAAAAGTGTCTTGCTCAAGATGATCACAACACGAGAAGACAGGACGAAGAACGAACTGCGAACGTCCTAGCCATCTGCTGGATATCCGGCTTAACCAAGTTGAAAACTAAAAGTAACGGATCTTTTAGTGTAGCTCTCAGTAGGCTTGTAATTCTATTCCCCGATCAAATTGTAGCAGGGTTTTTTTCGGTTTTCTTTCGGTTCTCCATACTTGCTCCGGTGAAAATGCCGCGAAACCACACACTATTCATAGTTTAATCAATGACATGGAAATAATTGCCCCTGTTGTTTGAAGTTTAACCCATTAATTACAAGCATAACTTTCTTTTCGCTAATGAGCGGCTCGCAAACTTCTGCTTCACTGACGGAACTACACCATACGGTTCGCTGAGAATTTACAAGATGCAAATAAACTGGTCTTACTATAGTAGAAGTCTTTAGTCTTTATAAAGAAATCAGTCACAAGATACGTGTGGCTTTACAATCAATAACAAACTAAGCTAAACTAGAAAAAACCTATCATATGTATTACAAGAAAAATTTTAAGAAATAAATTTAAAAAGACATCTGTTTACAAAAGCCCGTTTGAATCGTTCCGTTTTTACTTTAGGGAGTATGAAGTCATGGCCCCTGCAGATCTCGGCTCAAGCAAAACCACTAAATCATCATTTAAAACCATAAAACAAAACACTGATCGATTATTAGGAAGCTAAAAAATGGTCGGTATCGAGCTGAGATCTGCTACCTGACCCAATTTTTTTACGTTATAATTTTTTAGGAGGTGTTTCATGTGAGCACGGAAGGAATTCTTTTATTCCAGAACTGGAAACTTAATTCAGCAACAGGTAAGTTGTACTTTGATTATTGAACCACGCAGAGAACTGATTCACAACCAGCATTTCTGCTTAGCATAAGCTTATGTCCTTTGAGTGGTTTATATGTCTCAGGCCAACAGCTATCGTAAAACCAAAATGAGGGTTATACAGCTGGCCACTGGCAACAAACACTGATGGCGGTATGAGCCAATCAAAAATCAAAGGCAAATCATGCAGTCTGGGTTGCTCTGATTGGTTGGCTAAACATATGTTTGCCGCCTGATTGGCTGACTTTAACATATGTTTGATCTGATTGGTTGGCGAAACATATGTTTGATATGATTGGCTAGCGAAACATACGTTCGATCTGATTGGCTGGCGAAACACATTTTTGATCTGATTAGCTGAGCATTGTGTTCGACTAGAGTACCGTTCAACAGGAACAGCTGAAAAACGCTCGAACAAGTGCTTTAACCCTACTAGCCCCTAGCCAGCGCCCAAACTAATCAGTAAAAAGTTTAAACTGATTTGCGGTAATTTGATCTGATTATGCGACTGAAAATAATTTGTCGCAAAGCAAAGGCCAAATATGATTATACGACTAGCTGATGTCTGATTTTATCAAACAGCGATTGTTTGCTCTTACGACACTTCATGATGGCAAAAGTGGGGGTCTTTATAACCCAGTTTCCATAACCTTTGGTTCTATTCTACACCGTGCTTACGTAAGGGCTTATGTGCCACTGGGCACGAAGACTGAATGGGTCAGTACATGTACACCGTATTTACTAGCTCATGCTGATTTAATTGGATGATTCTATTTCTGTGATTTTTTCGTCATCTTTTTGTTTTGCGTGCTGCTGTGCAGTCTTAAAAGAGTTCAAATCAAATTATATCAATTCCATGTTGATTAGACTTCAAACTCAAGAGATTTTTCCTGTTCCTTGTTTCAGTCTTTGTTGGAGCTTGTTTGTCAACATTCTTGATCACTGCTCTGTATGAAGGCCTCAAAATATTCAGGCAATGGCTTGTTTGCAGACCGCTCCGTCTCTTAATCAAAGACTTATGGAAATCAAGGTCCACAAGCGAAGATATCACAGATAACCAAGACGCATCTAGCATTAAAGAGACTCTGCAACAGCATCCTGCTAGATTTTCTAGAAAGGGGTGACTATAATTTACTGAACTACTCCTCTAGTTTAGTTTCGTACAAAGCAAAGCAAGACTTTTAGCACTTCATTAGTGTAAGGAACGCGATGTTTCCCAAATAGAGAGGAAAGAGCAGAAATATTGATCACATGAAAAGCTCAAAAAGGGAGGAGCCTTGGAACGAATTTGCTTTATTCTGTTGATGGCTATATGGTAAGATCGTCGCTAGGGCCGGTTTACATGACGTATGAAACAAAACAAAGCATAACGAAAACATAAAACATTAGTGACATTTGTTTTGTAGCCTTTTTTTTATCCTTGCTGATAGCTGCTCTCACTTTATTTTTTTTTTTTAGCACAAGATGGAATAGTAAAATGCACATTCTACAAACGTTTCTTCACACAGTGCAGGTGTTTGTGGGATATGTGCTGATGTTGATAGTGATGACGTATAACGCCTGGTTTGGTGCCGCAGTGCTTGCCGGGGCGGGAGTAGGGTACTTGGCCTTCTCAGCAATGTTCCCGGATAACTTGAGGCTCAAAAGGAGTAACGACAATACGCTGGGTTTGGAAGAACTTCAGTTCTTGTCAAAGTAACAATCTCGGTCATAACAAGAAAGCAAATAAAAAGAAAATGGCTTATCGGATAACTTAATGAACAAAATAACGTAAAATAAGTGAATGACGCATTTTCCAGGCCCAGTTGTGGCCAATTTTTTATTAGCACGGTGGAATTTGCACGTGTTCATCCGACTTCGAATTTAAATTTACACAATACGTAGATAGGCAACTTCAAACAGTGTCTTGCTGCTGGAAAGGGTGCAGTTCTCCATTAATCAAGACACGATGCCAAGTCTTTATGGCCTCAGCAAAGAGTGTTTCAAAGAGATGATCGTGAGCCGAAATAACTCCCGTGGCATGAAGTAGTTATGAATTAAATAAATAAATAAAAAATAAATAAAAATAAATGAAATGTATGCTTAGTTTAATGCTAGCCTATTCAAGCAGAAGCATGCAAAAGGGATTTAAACGAACAGCGGTTTACATGTTGGTTTTCATTTGCGTTATCCATCGGGTATTCACATCTACATCCCCGGATAAAAGTTATATGCTTCTGTGTAGATTTTCACCTTGAGGTTATAGGATGTTTCACCTAAAACAGCAAACATTCACAATTCTTTTCAAGGAGCTCGATCGCGGTTTTTTTTAGTTTTTTTGGCCACGTCAAAAATTACCTTTAAATTGAAGGAAAACTGAGAACAGTAGTTTACTGAGATAGAAAAACACTCAAGAGTGAAAAGAGATAATATTAAATTATAAAGGAACAAGGATGGTTAAGGATGGAGAAGATTAGCACGGATTTAAAACAACAAACTTGAATAATTTAGGCTAAACTTTTCAAGATCCACAGCCGGACTGTGACGTAGCTTCTTTAAATATGACGCACCAGATACGTGGGCCACGCGTTACTGCAGCCTCCTAAAAGCGCCATATTTCTGGGTTTCTCTCGTAATCTAGAGCCTCCTAGGGACGGGAAACGGGACGGAAACTGGGAGGCTTGCCTTAAAAAGCTAATATTTGTCACAGTTATCCCCGACTAGGAAACCTGATACGAAACCCCTTGAATGAAGTTAATAACTGTCACAGCACATTTTGGAAAATTGACGAAACGAGTGTAAACCCATCAGCGCTGTTGTGACCTATTGTCAACTACTGTCGTTTGATAATATTAGTGTTTCTGACTTATCCGAAGACTTTCTCGGACACCAGTCTCCAAAGTCTTGACTTATAAAATGGAGGAGACGAACAAAGTGAAAGGTATAAGTTTGATTTAATATCAACTGTTACAATTGTAAATTTAACAATCTCTTTTACAAAATTCATCAGCATTTTTCCCCTAAGATGTAGTAAAATATATGCCTAACTAGTAAAATAGCATTGCTAAACAACTCTATTACAGCCATTTTAGCATATTTTCCAAGAAAAAAGAAAAACAAAAAATGTCCCTATGTGTGAACAATTAACTCATCCTCTCATGACAAAGGAAAACATCATCTCTGCAAAGAGTCTTAGAGAACCTTTTTTAAAGTAATCTTTTGTGGCTTTCCATCCCATGGAGGGGGAGGGAGGGACGTTGATTGAAAATTAAACTCTTCTTTCTTTCTTTCTTTCTTTCTTTCTTT